CGTCAGCCATTTTGTGACAGAAATTGTTAATTTTTTTAGCCAAATTTGTAATTTTTTTACTCCTGTTAAATCAAACTGGTAATCAGCCATTTTGTGACAGAAATTGTTAATTTTTTGTGCCAAATTTGTATTTTTTACTCCTGTTAAAGCAAATTGGTCGTCAGCCATTTTGTAACAGAAATTGTTAATTTTTCGAGCCAAATTTGTAATTTTTTTACTCCTGGTAGAGCAAATTGGTCGTTAGCCATTTTGAGACAGAAATTGTTATTTTTTTGAGCTAAATTTGTAATTTTTTACTTCTGTTAAAGCAAATTGGTCGTCAGCTATTTTGTGACAGAAACTGTTAATTTTTTTAGCCAAGTTTGTAATTTTTTTACTCCTGTTAAACCAAACTGGTAATCAGCCATTTTGTGACAGAAATTGTTAATTTTTTGTGCCAAATTTGTATTTTTTACTCCTGTTAAAGCAAATTGGTCGTCAGCCATTTTGTAACAGAAATTGTTAATTTTTCGAGCCAAATTTGTAATTTTTTTACTCCTGGTAGAGCAAATTGGTCGTTAGCCATTTTGAGACAGAAATTGTTATTTTTTTGAGCTAAATTTGTAATTTTTTACTCCTGTTAAAGCAAATTGGTCGTCAGCTATTTTGTGACAGAAACTGTTAATTTTTTTAGCCAAATTTGTAATTTTTTTACTCCTGTTAAATCAAACTGGTAATCAGCCATTTTGTGACAGAAATTGTTAATTTTTTGAGCCAAATTTGTATTTTTTTACTCCTCTTAAAGCAAATTGGTCGTCAGCCATTTTGTGACAGAAATTGTTAATTTTTTGAGCCAAATTTGTATTTTTTTTTACTCCTGTTAAAGCAAATTGGTCGTCAGCCATTTTGTGACAGAAATTGTTAATTTTTTGAGCCAAATTTGTAATTTTTTAAATCCTGTTAAAGCAAATTGGTCATCAGCCATTTTGTGACAGAAATTGGTAATTTTTGAGTCAAATTAGCATTTTTTTATCCCTGTAGGAAATTTGTCATTCAAATTAGATATATTTTTAAAACAAATGTTTTAGAAGCAAATAATGACGCAGTATATCTTCTACACTGAATCATCTTAACAACTTATGAAGTAAATTAAACCTCTTTTTGGGCCAACTCAATCATTTTTTTATACAAACTGGCAATTTTTGAGACAAAAAGTAATTTTGAGCCAAATTTGTCTTTTTTTTTTTAACCACGTTGTGAATTTGTGATGCAAAATGGCCACTATAAGCCACATTTTCTATTGAAGAGATATGCATTCTACTGAGATTTAGTAAGACACGTTTTTTGAACACCTTGGCAATTAATGACGCAATTTGAACATTTTTTTGAATCAAATTGGGAGCCAAATTTATAAACAAAATATTTAAAAAAAAAAGGTCAATACAAATTTATCATTAATTGCGAAATAAATTGGCATTTTCTGAGACAAACTGTCATTATTTGACAGAAATGTCCAATTATGTACTAAATTTGACATATTTTTGCCTTTTTTTAATAACAATGGTAATTTGTGATACACATTAAACATTTTTGAGTTAAATTTGGCATTTTTTTGGCAATTTTTGAGAAAATTTAGCCACTGTCAAGTTTGCAAAGATATTTGTCTTTTTTTAAACACCTTGGCAATTTCTGATGCAAATTAGACATATTTGAGTCAAAATTAACATTTTTTAAAACAAATTCGCTATTTTTTGATGCAAATTGTCCACTCTTACGCCAAATTTGATCCATTGTTAATTTTTATTGCAAATTTGTCGATTTTGAGTTAAATTTGCCATTTTAATCCACATAATCGGACATTTTTTTAAAACAAATTAGCCAATTTGGAGCCAAATTTTTAGGCCAAATATATTCGAGAGGAAAATATGTGCAGGTACACAAAATTATCATTTGTGAAATAAATAGGCTATTTTTGAGAAAAAATAGTCATTGTCTGACACAACTGTCCAATTTTGAGCCAAGTTTGACATTTTTAAACAAACTGGCCGTTTTTAAGAAAAAACTAGCCATTTTAGACACACATATCAATTTTGGCAACAAATTTTTCATTTTTTAATAACTCTGGAAATTTATGATGCAAATTGAAAATTTCTGAGCCAAATTTGACTTTTTTAAAGCAAATTGGCCATTTTTGAATCGCATTTGCCATATTTTAACACAAATTGTCCACTTTTGTGCTACATTTCACTCATTGTTAATTATTATTGCAAATTTGTTGTTCTTGAGCCACATTCACAATTTGCATCAAAAATTACCCTGGCTAAAAATTATAAATTTGGCTCAAAAATAGACAAATGCCTAAAAAAAATTGTAAACGTGGCTCAAAAATGAACAATTTGCATAAAAAATGATTGTTTAAAAAATTACAAATTTGGCTCAAAAATGGACAAAAGCGTAAATATAGTGCTCAAAAATGAACAATTTGTTTAAAGAAAACAAATGAGGCTCAAAAACAAACATTTTGCAAGAAAAAAATAGGATGATTTAAAAAATTACAAATTTGGCTTTAAAAAATAGAAAAGTGGCTCAAAAATGATAAAATTTGTATAAAAAATGCAAATCTGGCACAAAAATTAACAAATGCATAAAAAAATGTAAATGTGGCTCAAAAATGAACAATTTGCATAAAAAAATTAAGATTGTTTAAAAAATTACAAATTTTACTTAAAAGTGGCTTAAAAAAAGTGTAAATAATAGTAAAATTGGCTCATAAATGAACAATTTGTTTAAAAAAAGAGAAATGAGGCTCAAAAACAAACATTTTTGCAAGAAAAAATAAGATTATTTAAAAAATTACAAATTTGGTTTTTAAAAAATAGAAAAGTGACTCAAAAATAAACAATATGTTTAAAAAATTACAAATTTGGCTCAAAAATAGGCAGAAGCGTAAATAATGGTTCTCAAAAATTAACAATTTATTTAAAGAAAACAAATAAGCCTAAAAAACAAACATTTTGCAAGAAAAAAATAAGATGATTTATAAAATTACAAATTTGGCATAAAAAAATAGAAAAGTGGCTCAAAAATAAACAATTTGTTAAAAAAAGGCAATTGTGGCTCAAAAACGAACAATTTGGTTGAAAAATTGAAATGGTTTAAAAAATTACAAATATGGCTCAAAAATGGACAAATGCGTAACAAATTGTAAATGTGGCTCAAAAATGAACAATTTGTTTAAAGAAGAGAAATGAAGCTCAAAAACAAACATTTTACAAGAAAAAAAATAAGATGATTTAAAAAATTACAAATATGGCTTAAAAAAAATAGAAGTGGCTCAAAAATGAACAATTTGTTAAAAAAAAGGCAATAGTGGCTCAAAAATGAACAATTTGTGAAAAAAATTATAAATGTTGTTTGAAAATGACAAATTAGGCTTTAAAATGTCGAAATTGCATTATAAATGGACAATATTATTAAAAAAAGATAAACAATAACTAATTTGTCTCAAAAACGACCAATTTGTTTCACAAAATGAAAAATTTGGCTCAAAAACCGCCAACTTTGTTTCATTTTTAAAAAATAGACAAACAAAACAAATTTTAGTACATTAGTACCAAGTTTCGCCACTAGATAGTCCATGAAGGTCTAATTTTAACATTTGAACAACATTTGCCATTTATAATGACCTTAACGGGTTTTACTAATAGCACAGTAGCTCCTAGTTTTGGCCCTAGGCAGCGCTGCCTATCAACGTTGACATGCAACCAAAATAATGATTAAAATGAGAAAGAAGAAGACTTGCAACATATGGATAATGAAAATGTTCATTAAGAAGAAATATTGGGCATATTCAATACAGAATTTGAATGTAACAGCATAATTGGAGACGAGATTTTAAAAATCTAATTTAAGTACCCCCAGAATGGCCCCACGTTGGGCGCCAATTATTATATCGTTTTAATCATCACTTGAATGCGATGGTGTAATTAAATAAATTTAATTTTTAATAACTGTCACATGTTTTGATTACTTAGGAAACGATTTTGTAGTTACTTTTTGTTTTATATTTCCATTAATTTAAAAAAAAAATGAAAATTCTGAAACCTCTGTTAATGGTATTTCGGGCTTTTACACGTACGTTAAAATTTATTATTAAAAGCCTGTAAAGTGTCATAAGTCGATAAATATTAAGCTAACAAAAAAACTTAAATAGGAAATTTAAAGAGAATTTAATTGCCTATAAAAAAGGTTACGACCATTTTTTTGATAAAACATACCATTAACGAGATATAAATATATATAAAAAAAGAAAATTAAAATATTGTTATCTAACAAAAAACCGTATTATTATGAGATATTTATAAAAAAAGTTATATACAGTAAATATCTCGATAAAAATTAACTTAAGAGAAAAATTTTTTAACATAAACTATAGAAAATTTACTGATCTATAAAAAAGGTTATGATAATTTTTGCCGTATTTCGCATATTTTTCGAGATATAATACTAAAAGCATTTTTTTTAAATAAATTCCTTTCCTGGATAAAAAATCTCTAAATGGTTCACATAGCGTTGGAAAAAATATACAACAACAAAAAATTAAAAAGTATAATAATGCGCCTAATGCGTAATAGTCGGTGATATATACACAGTTCTAGAAAAGATAGAATGAGAATTAATTTATTATCGATTAAAAAAAATTAAGTATTTACGAAACCGTTTTGTTATTTATCCATTTCAAAATGAATAATCAACAATTCAATATCAATCGATATATACATTAAATAATAATAATAAAAAAAATGTATTTTAAATTGTCATGGGAGATCACCTTTCCTAAAAATCTAGCATCTCACATCAGATCACTAATTTTTCTCTCTTTCAAGACGTGACAGTTTTTGTTTATCTGTTTGTTTTTTTTTGATACGTAAGTAAAATGTTTTATTATTACACATAATTATCACATTTTCATTAATTTTATAACTACACTCCGAAGTTCATTGATCGACAATTCACTTTTCTTAGTATATAACTTCGTAGACTGTCGCTTTCTTGTCGCCCGAGCCCGTCACGATGTACTTGTCGTCCGCCGAGATGTCGCAACTCAACACACTTGAAGATTCTTTGGACTGAAAAGGAATTAAAATTAATTAAGTAAATCAAAAATAGAGTTCTGCAGCATACTTAATGAACTAGGAGATCTATGAAACTTACTAGATGAACTAGAAGTGTTCTGAAACGTACTAAATGAACTAGAAGTGTTATGGAACATATTAGACGAACTGGAAGAATTCTGAATCAAACTAAATGAACTAGAAAACTTTTCGAACATACTAGATGAACTAGGTGCTTTCTGGAGCATCCTAGATGAACTAGGAGGATTATGGAACATACTAGATGTACCAGAAGTGTTCCGGAATATACTAGATGAACCAGAAGTGTTCTGGAACATACTAGATGAAGTAGAAGTATTCTAAAACATACTAGATGAACTGGAAGAATTCTGAATCAAACTTGATGAACTAAAAAGATTCTAGAACATACTATATGAACTAGGAGGGTTGTGAAACATACCAGAAAAACTAGAAGTGTTCTGAAATATATTAGACGAACTGGAAGAATTCTGAATCAAACTAGATGAACTAGAAAGCTTTTAGAACATACTAGATGAACTAGGTGCTTTCTGGAGCATATTAGATGAAGTGGGAGGGTTCTGGAATATACTAGATGAACCAGAAGTGTTCTGGAACATACTAGATGAACTAGAAGTGTTCTAGAACATATTAGATTAACTGGAAAAATTCTGAAACATACATAATAAACTAGGAGGGTTTCGAGCAGAACTTAAGATGATTCTGGAACATACTTGATGAACTAGAAGTGTAATGTAACATACTTGATGAAATAGAAGTGTTATGGAACATATTAGATGAACTGGAAGAAGTCTAAATCATACTAGATGAAATAAGAGAGTTAGTTCTGCAGCATACTAGATGAACTAGGAGGGTTGTGGAACATACTAGATAATGTTCTGGAATATATTAAATAAACTAGAAGAATTTTGAATCACTCTAAATGAACTAGAAAGCTTTTAGAACATACTACATAAATTAGGAGGGTACTAGAGCATGGTAGATAAATTAGGAGGGTTGTGAAACATACTAGATGAATTAGAAGTGTTCTGGAACATTATTAGATGAACTGGAAGAATTCTGAATCATATTTGATGAACTAGAAAGCTTCTAGAACATACTTTATGAACTACAAGTGGTATGCAACATATTTGATTAACTGAAAGAATTCTAAAACAGACTAAATGAACTAGAAAGGTTTTAAAACATACCAGATGAACTAGAAGTATTTTGGACCATACTAGATGAACTAGAAGTGTTCTGGAATATATTAGATGGATCGGAAGAATTCTGAATCATAATCGCGGAACTAGAAAGCTTTTAGAACACGCTAGATAAACTAAGAGGGTACTGGAGCATGGTAGATGGACTAGAAGGGTTGTGAAACATACTAGATGAATAAGAAGTGTTCTGAGACTGGAAGAATTCTGAATCATACTTGATGAACTAGAAAGCGTGTAGAACATACTTAATGAACTAGAAGTGATATGCAACATATTTGATGAACCAGAAGAATACTAAAACATGCTAGATGGACTAAAAAGGTTCTAGAACATACTAGATGAACTAGGAGGATTTCAGAACACACTAAATAAATTAGGAGGGTTCTAGAACATACTAGATGAACTAGAAGTATTTTGAAACATACTAGATGATCTAGAAGTGTTCTGGAACATATTTGATGAACTAAAAGAATTCTGAATCATACTTGATGAACTAAAAATATTTTAGAAAATACTAGATGAACTAGAAGTGGTATGCAACATATTTGATGAACTGGAAGAATCCTAAAACAAACTAAATGAACTTAGAAAGGTTCTAGAACATACTAAATGAACTAGGAGGGTTCTAGCACATACTAAATGAACAAGAAGTATTTTGGAATATACTAGATGAACTAGAAGTGTTCTGGAACATATTAGATGAACTGGAAGAATTCTGAATCAAATTTGATGAACTAGAAATATTTTAGAACCTACTAGATGAACTAGGAGGATTCTACAGCATACTAGATGAACTAGGAGAATTCTGGAGCATGTTAATGGGAAAAGAGGAAGAAAATAAAAAAACAATTGAAAAATTGCGAATTTTTTTGTTAATTACCTGGAATATGCTGGCTCCATAAGGCGTCCTCCAGGCGTTCAGCAGATTATCCTTGCCAGTGGAAACGAACCATTTTCCGCACGCAGCGAATCTCAAACTCAAGACGCAGCTTTCGTGCAGATGCAACTGGTATTTATCCGGTTTGTTGGCGTGCAAGACCTCCACGTTGGAATTTTCCATGCCGACCGCTAACCATTCGCCCATGGGGCAGTAACCCAAGGAGAAGATTTGCGAGCTAAAATAATTTAACATATTAAATAATTAAAGGAACTAATAAAATTAAATTTAATGACTTACCTGAAGTCGTGTTGCTGCAATTGCCTACCCTCGCGAAGATCCCAACTTCTTACTGTGTTATCTAAACCGCCGGTCCACAATTTCGTACCCTCGGAAGAGATGTCTATACACGAAGCGCCATCCGTATGGCCTTGGAACTGTCTGACCAGCGTTTGATTGTGGAGATCCCAGACGGCGATGTTTCCTAGAAAACACAAACAATAACAGTCTAATTCCCTTTCTAACCGTAACAAAATAACTAAATACGATACTGTACAAAGTTAGAGACAAATGGTTAAAAAAAAATAGTTTATTTTGCATATTTATGAGTGGTTCTTATCTTTTGATTATATTTCTCCTTAAATATTAGTTCTTAGACAATTTTTCTGGGCACCATCTTCATAGTTTACCGTTTTAAGTACATCGTCCATGCAGTCTAGGTATCAAAAGCGTTTTTATATTTGAAATTTTAGTTATTTATAGAATTTTTATGGACATCGTCTTCATAGGTTACCATCTTAAAAACCTTCCCTAGGTAGTCTGGGTATTTCATAACGTTATTCAGAATTTTTTCCAGACACCATCTTCATAATCTTTCATATTATTCATGTTAATTAAGTGTACACATTATTATAAAGGTATTGAATACATTTTCTGGACAATGTCTTCATATTTTACCACTCTAGTTATCTAGATGTCCACAATGTTATAAAACACTTATATATTAGTTATTCCACAATTTTGATTGTTTACCATTTTAATTACAGCCTCCTGGTTATCTAAACGTTTACAACGTTGTAAAATGATTAACTAATAGTAATTCCACAGTTTTTGTAGACATCTTCTTCATAGTTTTTTATTTAAAATGTATCGTCCAGGTGGTCTAGGTGTCCACATCATTGTAAAACTCAACTATTAGTTATACAACATTTTTTCTGTACATCATCTTCATGGCGTATTTTTTAAATTATTTATATATATTTAACAAAAAAATGTTCTGCAAAATGGTAAGTACTATATTTGCCTTGAAAAAATATAATTTCAATTGCACCTTGAAAAAATCAGTACTATGGGCACATTCTTGTGTGAATCTTATCTTCTGATGGTATATCTCCTTGTATATTAGTTTTAAGGCGATTTTTTGGGGCACCATCTTCATAGTTTACCATTTTAAATATATTAGTGATGCAGTCTAGGTCTTAAAAGCGTTTTCGTATTTAAAATTAAAGTTATTTTAGGGTTTTTATGGGCATCGTCTTCATAGGTAACCATCTTAAGAACCTTCCCTAGGTGGTCTAGACGTTTCACAACGTTATTTAGAATTTATTTTATACACCATCTACATTCACAACGTTATAAAATCATTAAATATTAGTTATTCCACGATTTTTATTGACACCATCTTCATAGTTTACCATTTTAAATACATCATTCATGCGGTCTAGGTCTCAAAAGCATTTTCTTGTATAAAATTTTATTTTACGGTTTTCATGGGCATCGTCTTCATAGGTAACCATCTTAAGAACCGTCTCTAGGTGGTCTAGGTGTTTCACAACGTTATTTATAATTTCTTATATACATGATCTAAGTTCATAACGTTATAAAGCCATTAAATATTAGTTATTTCACGATTTTTGTTGACACCATCTTCATAGTTTACCATTTTAAGTATATCATCCATGTGGTTTAGGTCTCAAAAGCGTTTTATTATTTCCAATTTTAGTTATTTTAGGGTTTTTATGGACATCGTCTTCATAGGTAACCATCTTATGAACCTTCGCTAGCTGGTGTTGGTATTTCACTTTTAGAATTTTTTCTATACACCATCTACGTTCACAACATTATAAAACGTTTAAATATTAGTTATTTCATAATTTTTATTGACATCATCTTCATAGCTTACCATTTAAAATACATCGTTCATGCGGTCCAGGTGTCAAAAGCATCTTCTTATATAAATTTTAAGTTATTTTATGGTTTTTATGGATATCGTCTTCATAGGTAACCACCTTAAGAACCTTTGCTAGGTGATCTTGGTATTTCACTTTTAGAATTTTTTTTAAACACCATCTACGTTCATAACATTATAAAACATTTAAATATTAGTTATTTCATAATTTTTATTGACATCATCTTCATAGTTTACCATTTTAAATACATCGTTCATGCGGTCTAGGTCTCAAAAGAGTTTTCTTATATAAAATTTTAGTTATTTTATGGATTTTATGGGCATCTTCTTCATAGGTAACCATCTTAAGAACAGTATCTAAGTGGTCTAGGTGTTTCACAACGTTATTTATGATTTCTTATTCACACCATCTAAATATTAGTTTTTTACGATTTTTATTGATACCATCTTCATAGTTTACCATTTTAAATACATCACCCAGGCAAGTCTAGGTCTTAAAAGCGTTTTCTTGTTTAAAATTTTAGTTATTTTAGGGTTTTTATGGACATCGTCTACTTAGATTACCAACTTAAGAACCTTCTCCAGGTGGTCTAGGTGTTTCACAACGCAATTTAGAATTTTTTTACACACCATCTACGTTCATAACGTTATAAAACCATTAAATAGTTATTTCACGATTTTTATAGACACCATCTTAATAGTTTACCACTTTAAATAAACCCCTCATGCGGTCTAGGTCTCAAAAGCGTTTTATTATTTAAAATATCATTTATTTTAGAGTTTTTATGGACATCGTCTTCATAGGTAACCATATTAAGAACTTTCCCTAGGTGGTCTAGGTATTTCATAACATTATTCATGTGATTTAGGGGTCCATATTATTGTAAAAGTACTAAAAATTTAATCGATAGTTTTTCTGGACAACGTCTTCATATTTTACCATTTTAAATACATTCTCTTAGTCATCTAGGTGTCCACAATGTTGGTATTGTATATGGTATGGTATATCTCCTTAAACATTAGTTTTTAGACGATTTTCATGGGCACCATCTTCATAGTTTACTATTTTAAGTATATTGTCCATGCAGTCCAGGTCTCAAAAGCGTTTTATTATTTAATATATTACGTATTTTAGAATTTTTATGGACATCGTCTTCATAGGTAACCATCTTAAGAACCTTCACCAGGTGGAATAAGTATTTTATAACATTATTTATATGATTACATCATTGTAAAAGTTCTAACAATTTCATTGATAGTTTTTCTGGACAACGTCTTCATATTTTACCATTTTAAATACATTGTCTTAGTCATCTAGGTGTCCCCAATGTTGGTATGTATATGCATATGGTATGGTAATTAAATATTAGTTCATGCGGTATAGGTCTTAAAAGCGTTTTATTATTTAAAATATTAGTTATTTAGAGTTTTAGGGACATCGTCTTCATAGGTATCCATCTTAAGAAGCTTTCCCAGGTGGTCTAGGCATTTTATAAGATTATTCATATGACATTATTGTAAAAGTACCAAAAATTTCGTCGCTAGTTTTTTGGACGTCTTCATATATATCATTTTAAATACATTCTCATCTCATCTAGGTTTCACAACGTTGGTATGTATATGGAAATGGTATATCTCTCTTAACAATAGTTTTTAGACGATTTTTGTGGGCAACATCTTTATAGTAATAATTCTATGAACCTTCCCCAGGTGGTCTAGGTATTTCACAACATTATTCAAAAAAATTTCTACACATCTTCATAATTTTTCATATTAAATGCATCCTGCATGTGATTTAGAAGTCTATTGTTGGAGTAGATAGGAAATGGCAATGCTTAAAGAGGTCATTAACTCCATATACGTTAAATTAACAAATTTACGAAAAAAAAATTGTTACAAGTCAGAAAAAAGATACTTACCGTCCGAGCAACAACTGAAGCACACTTTGGAATCGGGACTGATAGCTAAAGCGTAGCACGCAGGCGCGCTAGACGTCAATTCTGCTTTTATTCGAGGCGTAGGACTTGCCAAGTCCCATATCGACAGATTACTGGCCTCGCCTCCTACTATAAGCGTCCGACCGTCCGGTAGTAATTTTACAGATCTGATGTAGTTGTCCCTTTGCTAAAACACAATCATCATGAAATAGCACTAAGGAAAAAGTATCTTTCAGGAAGAAGGACCAAATATAGGCAGAAAAAACATAATGGAAGAAGGACCATTTAGAAAATAGTCTGTAGGAAAGAGGACGATAACGTAGGAAAAAAAACTATACAGGAAAAATAACCATGTAGGAAGGAAAATCATGTAGAAACAAGGATTATTATAAATTTCTATGTTGCGCCATTAAAGGCTAACTTACCAAACAGTCGAGTTGCGAGACAGGACTTTTGGATCCAGGTTGGCTGATGTCCCATACTTTGACGCAACCTTTTCCTCCAGTATATACATATTTGGTGGGATTCGAAATAGTCACGGCACAAACGACTTCACCGTGACTTAACGTGTTGATTTGTCTTGCGTGGCGGGGAATCCCAGGTCCTACCAACGCATCATGTGGAAAGGGCACCGGTTGCATTTGACCGTCGGCGTTTACATGAAAGGAATACGCCCTAAAAATAAAGTTATACAAATTTAAATATGGAAACTTGTATAATTCGCAATATAAGAATATCTGGAAAAGTATAATTGAACTTTGTCAGCTCGCCATTGTAAAACTAGTAAAGATATTCAGTTTGTGTCTTCACAAAACTGTTTCTACAATTGTTCTGTATCATTTATGTAAATCTTAGACTTTATAGAAAGCTAATTTTAAACTGGTGAAGTTATATAGATGGCAGTGTCAAATTTCTGGAAAAGCATAATTCAGTTTTAACAGTTTGTCATTTGAAATCAATAATGACATGAAATTTCTGTTATATTATAAGATTTATATGAATTTGAAATTGTTTCATTGGCTGGTTTCAAATTGATGAGTTTTTAAACATACCAGTGTCATATATTTGGTCTTCAAAACCAATAATCTGTAAACTTAATTTTTATCAGAGAAATCGAAGAAACCAAACAAAAAATCTACTTACGGCTTTCCTCCTGGAATAGCGCCCAATCCTGGAACGACAGGAGCCCTCATTTGAGAGTGAGGATCGTAACCAACTTGCAAAGGAGGTCTTGGATAATTGTTCAATGCTGGTGGAATATTGTTATGTAGGCCCGCATAATTTCCTGCAGCTGCAGCTGCTGCTGCTGCTTGCAATTCATGAGGAGCACCACCTAAAAAAGACACACTGTACCCACAACGCAAAAAAGAAGACTGGTCTACTTCTAAAAGATTGGGTGAGGATGAGGAACGTCGGATCATGTTGTAACAGGTGACTTACCATTAGACATGGCTAGATAAGGCGGATACTGTCCCAATCCCTGTTGTTTGATGGGCTTCAACCCTCCCGAAGCACTTCCTGAAGACGATCCGGCGGCAGACGTGGGTGTTACGGATTTCGAAATAGGCGTTGGAGGTTTCTCTTCCATTTTTTTCGTTGAAGGCGTGGATGCGTTGCTCGACGTGCCCGATCTGGGACTGTGGGGTCCGGGGTGTTCTTTCTTGGGTAGTTTGTCGATACCGTTTTCTCTAGGTGACGTGGTACCGTTCGGTGGCGAGACGGGGTCTTCTGATGCGTCGTCGACTACCAGGTCTTGATCGCTCTTTTCACCGTCGCTATGCTGTAAATTTAGACAGCGATTAATATATTATACGTATTGTACATAATTGAAATATTTCTGGGAGTTTTACTATTTTGTATTTCAAACGCAGTTACCACCTGATGCAAGCATTATGAGCAAAAGTATTCTAATGTCAATCAATAATCATACAGGTGTTCGAACAATTACAACACTCAAAGTCACGCCAAGAGATGAATCTACGTTGAAGGTTATACTATAATTCTAAAAGAACAATATCACTAAAATTTTACAAGGGATCAAAAAAGTGTTTGTTTTATTATGAATGCTAAATAAATGTTCAAGATACGACAAATTAGAGTATGAACAATAGTCATATTATCTTGTTATAGTAACCTAATAATATACACAATTTCTGAAAAATGTGGGATGCATTCCATTAGAATTGCGATATAGTATTGTAAATGCCTTACAAAGTAGCTCAGGAAGGTCTATTATGTAGATAGTAAACAATGTGAGGATTAGAACCGACCCCTGAGGTACTTCCACATTGTTTACCAGTTTCTATAAGATAAATGATTGCCTGAATAATTAGTTTTAAGTGATCAGAGCCAATCTTTAATATAGGATTGAAACTAATTATTTTGAATAATTTTAATTTCATAGGAGTAAAGTTTATGTATGAGAACATTATATTCAACACAGTCAAAAGCCTTGCTAAGATCAGAAAAGATTGCTGCAGGGCTGTCGTCGTGTTCAAGTGATTTCAGTAAATTCTCATAAAAGGAGATGAGAGCAGTTTTTATAGTTTATCACTTTGAATATATCCCCTTAGTTACCTAAATGTCAACAATATTGAAAAACGATTTAATATTAGTTATTCCACGATTTTTATTGACACCATCTTCATAGTTTACCATTTTAAATTACATCATCCATGCGGTCTAGGTCTCAAAAGCAGTTTTATTTAAAATTTTAGTTATTTTAGAGTTTTTTATGGACATCTTCTTCATAGATAATCATCTTAAGAACCTTCCCCAGGTAGTCTACGTATTTCACAACGTTATTCAGATTTTTTATCTACACGCCATCTTCATAATTTTTCATATTAAAAGCATCCATCATGTGATTTAAACGTTTACATTATTATAAAAGTAGTCAATAGATTTTCTGGGCAACGTCTTCATAGTTTATCACTTTGAATATATTCGTTTAGTTACCTAAATGTCAAAAATATTGAAAAACGATTTAATATTAGTTATTTCACGATTTTTATTGACACCATCTTCATAGTTTACCATTTTAAATACATCATCCATGCGATCTAGATCTCAAAAGCGTTTTCTTATTTAAAATTTTAGTTATTTTAGAGTTTTTATGGACATCTTCTTCATAGATAACCATCTTAAGAACCTTCCGCAGGTGGTCTAGGTATTTCACAACGTTATTCAGATTTTTTTTACATGCCTTCTTCATAATTTTTCATATTAAAAGCATCCATCATGTGATTTAAACGTTTACATTATTATAAAAGTAGTCGATAGATTTTCTGGGCAACGTCTTCATAGTTTATCACTTTGAATATATCCGCTTAGTTACCTAAATGTCAAAAATATTGAAAAACCATTAAATATTAGTTATTCCACGATTTTTATTGACACCATCTTCATAGTTTACCATTTTAAATACATCATCCATGCGGTCTAGGTCTCAAAAGCGTTTTATTATTAAACATTTTAGTTATTTTAGAGTTTTTAAGGACATCGTCTTCATAGATAACCATCTTAAGAACCTTTACCAGGTGATCTACGTATTTCACAACGTTATTCAGATTTTTTCTACACGCCATCTTCATAATTTTTCAAATTAAAAGCATCCATCCATCATGTGATTTAAACGTTCACATTATTATAAAAGTAGTTGACAGATTTTGATAGAATAATCTGTAATGTAGAATCTTACAAAAAATAGATTGTAGTATAGGTAGATCGCGTTCTCTAATAAAAGATAAATAGTGGTCCTTTGTATTCAAAATGTTGCTGTAGAACTTACTTAATTGCGTTCAACCTGCGTGTAATATAAAAAATAGCAAAACAAAAATAAAAAATAAAATCGCAGTAAATTTTATTCGTGCCTTTGCATTTTTAGTAAAAACCCCAACAATTCCCGGTAATATTTTCCGAGTTTTATATGACGGAATGCCATTCGACTTTTTCACTACATAAACGCCACATCAAGGGTGCCGCGGGCCGCGTTGCGAATGCATCCCGAAACGTTTTATTGTTATGTAAAATGTCTGCAGAGGCGCTCACTTTATTCCGGTAATTTTGAGCGAGTGCTCAATTTTCTAACATCCTTTACGGAGCTTTGAGAATTCCGACGATTTTTACATTATATATGAAAATTGTATTGCATGGTTTTTCGAGACTGATGACTAAAGATGAAGATAATAATAATAATAATAATAATAATAATAATAATAATAATAATAAATATTTATTGTCCAAGTTAAAATACTTATTGTAGTGTTAAAAATTTAACAGTAAGTAAACTGAAAATCAGATTTAATTTGCATATAGAGAAAAGTAATTTAAGTATTTTGTCTGTGTTATCGAAAGTATTTGAGAAGATTTTAGATGAACAAATTAGGAAATTTAATTTCTTCTTCTATAAAATATAACTGATTTTTTTATATTATCCAGAATGGTGTTATACAATTTCACTGTAATATATGTGTAAGCTCTTTAGGATAGTCGGATGAGTATAAACTTTGTAATTTCTTATGATCTTGACTTTTGTATTTGTGAAGTACCTCTGCTACAGTTTTAAGACAATGCTACAGTTTTTCTGGTGTTAACACAAATCTCGTTCGAATCAGACCATAACTTAATAATCACTAGATCTTTGTTTATGTCAGTTACACTAGTGTCATGTTTTGTTAATTTTTTATTCAACTAGTTGTTCATATTGTCCTTCTGAATAATCACAATCGAATCCTTTGACAACTAAGAAAATTTCAACGTGTTCACTGAAAAAAAAAACAGATAAAAAAGGAAATTCTGGACAACGTTTATCACTTTAAATATATTCCCTTAGTTACCAAGATGTCCACAGTGTTGTAAAACGATTAAATATTAGTTATTCCACGATTTTTATTGACACCATCTTCATAGTTTACCATTTTAAATACATCATCTATGCAGTCTAGGTCTCAAAAGCGTTTTATTATTTAAAATTTTAGTTATTTTAGTTTTTGTGGACATCTTCTTCATAGGTAACCATCTTAAGAACCTTTCCCAGGTGGTCTAGATATTTTACAAAGTTATTTATAATTTCTTATACACACAATCTACGTTCATAACGTTATAAAACCATTAAATATTAGTTATTCTACGATTTTTGTTGACACCATCTTCATCGTCTATGCGGTTTAGGTCTCAAAAGCGTTTCATTATTTCCAATTTTAGTTATTTTAGGGTTTTTATGGACATCGTCTTCATAGGTAAACCATCTTATGAACCTTCTCCAGGTGGTTTAGGTGTTTCACAACGTTATTTAGATTTTTTACACACCATCTACGTTCACAACGTTATAAAACCAATAAATATTAGTTATTCCACGATTTTTATTTACATCATCTTCATAGTTTACCATTTTAAATACATCATCCAGGCAGTGTAGGCCTCAAAAGCGTTTTTTTGTTTAAAATATTAGTTATTTTAGGGTTTTTATGGACATCGTCTTCATAGATTACCAACTTAAGAACCTTCTCCAGGTGGTTTAGGTGTTTCACAACGTTATTTAGAATTTTGTTTACGCACCACCTACGTTCACAACGTTTTAAAACCATTAAATAGTTATTTCACGATTTTTATTGACACCAACTTCATAGTTTACCATTTTAAATACATCATCCAGGCAGTCTAGGTCTAAAAGTGTTTTCTTGTTTAATATTTTTTATTTTTATTGACGTCTTCATAGGTTACCATGTTAAGAACTTTCTTCAGGTGGTCTAGGTATTTTACAACGTAATTTAGATTTTTTCTACACACAATATTCATAGTTTTGCATCTTGACACCATTTTCATGCTTTACCATTTTTAATACATCATCCAGGCGATCTAGGTCTCAAAATCTTATTTAAAATTTTAGTTAATTTTTATGGACATCGTCTTCATAGGTATTCATCTTAAGAACCTTTCTCAGGTGGTCTAGGTACTTTTCAACTATATTTAGTATTTTTTCTACACACCATCTTCATAATTTTTTATATTAAGCGCATTCTCCATGTGATTTAAGGGTCCACATTATTGTAAAATTATTAAAGATGTATTCGATAATTATTCTGAACGCCGTTTTCATACTTTATCAAGGTTACCTAGACATTCATAACGTTATAGAACGATAAAATATTAGTTATTCCACGATTTTTGTTGACATCATCTTCATAGTTTACCACTTTAAATACATCTCTCATGCAGTCTAGGTCTTAAAAACGTTTTAATATTTAAAATAGTACTTATTTTTGAGTTTTTATGGACATCGTCTTCATAGGTAACCATCTTAAGAACCTTCCCCAGGTGGTCTAGGTATTTCATAACATTATTCATGTGATTTAAGGGTCCACATTATTGTAAAAGTACTAAAAATTTAATCGTTAGTTTTTCTGGACAACGTCTTTATATATTTCCATATTTCCATTTGAAATACATTCTCTTAGTCATCTAGGTGTCCACAATAAAATTTCACTATAATATATGTGTAAGCTCTTTAGGATAGTCGGATGAGTATTAACTTTGTAATTTCTTAAAGTTATAATTATGATCTTGACTTTTGTATTTGTGAAGTACCTCTGTAAGATAATGCTACAGTTTTAAGACAATGCTACAGTTTTACTGATGTTAAAACACATCCCATTCGAATCAGACCATGACTTAATAATCACTAGATCTTTGTTTATGTCAGTTACACTAGTGGCATCTTTTATTAATTTTTTATTAAACTAGTTATTCATATTGCCCTTCTGAATAATCACAATCGAA